GTGTGTGTGTGTGTGTGTATGTGTGTCAGGGTGAGCATGTTCAAGCCTCTCCATCAAATATTGTCTAATTGGTTGTATTGATTACCTAATTGCTTGGTTATGACAACATTATTCTGTCAATCTGAAAGTATCCATACTGATCTGATTAGATGGTGGAACGAAGGGAGAGCAAGGAGAAAGTGATTAATGAGGAAAAAAAGAGCCAAGGTGAAACAAACAGAAGAGGAGAAAAGTGAAGAGTGAAAAGAAGTTTGTTACTCAAGCTTCATATACTTTGTTTCTCATTTTTATAAAAGTATTGTTTCTGAAACAGAACTAGCCCAAGTGCAGCATCTATTTCCTCCCTGAGTGAAGAGACTCTCGCACACTTTGGTTCCTACCCCGTCTTTCCTCTGCAACCAAGGACAGATGAGGAGCATCACTACGGTTACCATATCCATGACAACCTCTCCCGCTGCTATTATTGGGCATGTCGTCAAGGAGACCGAGCGGCACATTATGGGATGCAGACAGAAATAGAAATCTTTTACTGGGAGCAATACAACAGATCTCTGGTATTACATAAGAGGGACTTGTGCAAATCTGGCGAGGGGGCGCTATATTGATTCTTTAAACTCAGGCTCGATCACACATGGGGTCACAGCTAATTCTAAAGAGCATCATCAAGATACTGATCTGCAGTCATAACGCAGGTATTTTGAGCTCTTGAAAAGATGAAACTGTAGTTTATTTACAAATGGAAATAAAAAATGTGTGGGTGAGAATACAAAACCATGAGGGGGGCTGAGCAGAACATGGAACCCCAAATGACTAAAAGAGAACAAATACTCGGCAGAAGGGGAAGGAGGGCGAGACACAAACTTGAATCAACACAGTGGGTCCAGGGTGAGCTGAATTAAAAGAGCTTTGATGTAGGGAATATTTAAAAGCCTCCTGCTGCTCCAATGCATATTATATTTAATGATAATTAATGATTCATGTTTATATCTATATTTAACCTCACACTTTGCACTTAAATGCAACAATGACAATGTAAGTAATAACTATATTGTGTGAAAGTGTTTCTACTTATCTACAGGGTTTGTGCAGGTTTGTGTTTCCCAAATCTGCACGGAGACTTATTTAGTCTGTTTAAGCAAAATAGTCACATCTCTGGATAAACCCATCACATAAATGACTAAACTGTGACTATAATGAAAATCACAATAGACACTCTGGCAAATTAGCCAATGGGAAGGAATATGGATGCTGGCAGTCTTAGGTTTAATTACTGTCGTGCAAGCACAATGATGGGACTGAAGAAGGTCAATAGTGACACTGAATGTGTAATGCAAACACAATGTAAACACAATCTAAGATGCACTTCTGCCAGTATTGTTTTTAAATGTGATGAGCATTTGTTTTGAGACATATACTGTGTGTGTGCATTCATAGGGAACTTTAAATATTTACAGTGAGAGGGGAAATAAGATGAGGCTGCTAAAGTACTTTAAGTGGACAATGAATGATATAATGAATTTAATAATGTAGGTTACAATCATCACAAAACCCATTATCTTAGGTCATCATTATTTTTATATGTTTGGCCTACATGGTACACAGGAAATACTTCATATTATGATGCATAATGCATGTCTTTTTGCACATGTGTTTAATTATAGTAAGTAAGCTTTGGCTGGGACAATACGCTTATCTCCCAATTCAATACTATGAGAATATTTGGGTACTGTTTTGATATGTGATGTGATTCTAAAAGTACATTTTGGAGCTTGAAGCTTCTTGTCAACAGTGCAACATCAACAGTCAGCAGAAAGTCAAACGGTCAGTTGCATGAGGATGTTTTATTGTGATTAACAGTAGAATTGGCTTTAACACTCTAACATCGCTCTGATTCACTCCTCGATGTTAACAGGCTAACCGAGTCGCTGCTATAATAAATCAAATATAGATTAAAGAATAAGTGATTCAAATTAAAAAGAATAAAAGATTCCACTTAAAGTAACAACATATACTTTTCAGGATTTTTTATTGTGCATACTTGTTAATACTATAAAATTAGAGAAAATCTCTCCCATATACATGGAGAGATAGTTCAACCATATATTTAAGTCTCTGGTGCATCTGCACGCTGCTTCCTGTCTGTCAGAAGGTAACCTAATTGGCCACAGCTGCAGTGGTAGTGTGTAGGTTTGAGTGTGTTTGTGTGTGTGTGTGTGTGTGTGTGTGTGTGTGTGTCTTCAATGTTTTCACAAACAAGGCAAACAAGGGTGAGGTCACCAGGGTAAAATAACCCTACAAGAATATTAGAGCAGAAAATAGGTAGCATTACAAGCCATACGAGATGTGTGTGCATACATGTGCTTGTGTACATGCTTCATGCCGTATACTGTTTCCAAACAGCAAAACCAGTAGCATTAAAATTCTCTTCTTAGCGTTGAGAGACAGTGAAGGACAGTACGACTTGTTGTAATCCAGACTAGACCATTATATGTTTTTAAAAGAGATGACTTATCTAACTTATATTACTCAAGAAAGGGTTTTTTTTATTGTTACACATGGTACAGCCATATGTTGGATCTGGTACCAGTGAAAAGTAATGTAATTGCTGTATTTACTGTATGTCTTCTGCAGAATTATGGGAGAGAGTGGGTGAGGAACACAGATTGACAAGATGCAAAAAGGTGTCATCCCTCAGCCTTATTTACTAATTTACCACTGACTCATATAACAGCTCTGATACGATATCATTTAAAGAGAATTCATACAGTTAAACAAATGCAAACGTTTGTCTGCTCACAGATGTACAATGAGCCAAGAGCAAATTTATGAGAAGCCAAGATTAAAAAAGACACACATTCATATTAAGTAACGTAAGTTCTCACTAAAACTAATTCAATTCTCTAAATCAGCAATTAGAGCATGAACATCTTGATATATACAATGAGCAATATGATACCCGCAGCATGAGCTCTGAAGAGTCAGTAGATCGTTCTTAGAAAGAGAGACAGTGACAGATGGCCTGTGAAGGATTAGTGTCTGCCTCACACTCATACACTGACATACATCTGCAGGCTGTCACACACACACACACACACACACACACATATATATATATATATATACAAACAGGTATATCCTACAGATAAATGTATTCATATTGATTCCTATATACACAGCACCACACTGATTTACACAGTCCACACCCTGGTGAGCTGCCAGGTTGAGGTAATTACAGAAGAATTTTGGCAAAAAACAGTCGGTCTGTTTTGTCACAACAGATGTCTTTGTTTAGTCAAGTATTTTTGTTTTACTTTTTAACTTTAAATTAAATTAGACTACATTTAGTCTATTAGACTCGATGACATTCTGGCAACCGCAAAACAAGTCAAGTCAGTCCACAACAAGAACTCATGATTTCTCAATCACAACAGCTATTTTCTCCTATTTGCCCACAAGAAAATGTTGCCATAACTTTGATTAAATGAACTCACTCAGAATAACTGAAACCCTCCATTTTCTTCAGGGTCTACATCGTTCGTCAAGAACGTCATAATCTCCAACTCTGATGAATCTAAACAATCAATGGTAAGTCTTGACCTCTCAATCTTTTCACCCCACCTTTCTTGTCTTTCACCTTGAGTCATGGCCTCATACTGCATCTCCCACTATTCCTCACACTGGAATCAGCTGGAAATGTGTAAATGACATGCTGATCTGGAACACTAATTACCAAATAACCACTTACACACCTAATAAGATGTCAGTCAAGATAATATGACAGCAAAGGAAACAGAGCAGCACATTTGGATTGGAAAATGAGCCAAGAAGTTGCTTAAACTAGCAACTGCTAAACCAAACGATGAGTCAGCACATTCAACTGAAAAGTAGTTAAAATACTGTAGATTACTTACCAGGTTGGAGTTGGTGGCGTTCGAGTCATCCTCAGGGAAGGGGATGTAGACAGCTAAGGCCACACAGTTGGCAAAAATGGTCATCAGGATGATGATCTCAAATGGTCTGAGAGGAGAGTGAAGGAATATGCACACCAGAACAGAGTAAAGTGTAATCTTGGGTTTGCATCCCAGGTTTGCTTCCTTTCTTTTAAGTAACATTAAGTAACAACATCATCATCATCATCACTCATGGTGGGAGTTTTTTTGAGGTGAGATTATTATTTGGTGTTCTCTCTGTGTGAGAGAACATGCAAACTCCACATAAAAAGGTACTCTATGTTCGAAGTGGGAACCTAATTGGTGTGAACAAAAAATAGGAGGCAAAGTATTATAGTTTATAACTATAGTATAGTAAATAGTATTTAGACAGCAGCACACAACGAGCACAACATGGAGCAAAGTGAGCGACTCTGAGTAACATGTTATTCTACCTCATTCAGCCTGTATTTTCCATCAGATAAAGCTAAGATAAAATCTTATGTGCTAGATTAAACAGTTTTAAGTTTATCCAAGTTTTTTTTTTTTTGACTGAGATAAGACAGAAATGCCCAGACCTTGAGTCAACTAAAAATTGAAAAAAATGATTAAAAAAAACTAACAGGCACATTCGACAGAGACCTCAGACTCAATAAAAATGGCTGACATTTTTATTAGAACTACGAAGCACAACATAACACAAACTCTGATCTAAGTGAAGAGAAAAAAGTCAAATACCTCTTAACAAAGAGCTATTTTTAAACAAGCTAATACATCCTTACATAAGAGAGGTGTACATATACACATGTAGCAGAGTGCACAAGCAGTGTACACAATGAGAGAGATCAAAGCTGTCGAGTTTGTCTTTCTGTTAACTATAAGACATATTGGATCACTTAGGGACCTCTTTGTGTGTGCGGGGGGTTAGAGACAGAGACAGCGCATGTCCTAATATGGGTGCAGCGAGGAGCAGGCTTGTCGCGTGGAAGACGGGATGCGGACAGAGAAAGAGTGAGAGCGAGATGGAATGAGAGGAGTGGAGAGAGACACAGAGGGTTTTTATTTGGAACGGTCCTTGAGAGGGGAGTGACCTCATTATTTTTGGCCTCAGAGAGAGAGAGAGGGAGCGATACAAAGTGAGAGAGAGGGAGGGAGGGAATGTGAAGGAGAGATAGAGGAGGTCTGGTTTTCATCAACACAATTAGTAACTGCCACTGCTGTCACCTCCCTCCACCTCCTTTTCCTCTCCTTCTGCTATCTTCTTCAATACCTTCCTTCCTTCCTTCCTTTACTCCTTATTTCATTTCCCACTCCCCTTGGCTGCATGTCACATAAGTCTAGACTCCAGGCCTTGCAGTAAAACATAAACAACAACGTACTGATGAGTTGCGCTGTCAGAACCTCAGATCCAGAAGACGGGCCATGAGCAAAAACACTGCATCACATTATGAACACAGGCTTTTCAAGACTGAAGCATTCTATCAAACATCCTTGGCCACCCTATCCAACTCAGGTGGAAAACCAATGGAGGATCATTCTCTAGTTGTAACACTATGATAACTTTAAATAAACAGCCTCCAGGTACCTCATAATCATTTACATTTAAAATCTCTGAAGTGTTTTGTTGTTAAAATCCTCTAGCCAATAAAATTCTATTAACCTTGTAGATTGGTTCAAATGGCCAAAGAATGACGGTTGCATGTTAAATAAGAAGTGGACTTAACTACTTTAACGATCTTGTACTACCTATAATCACAGTAGCAACCCTGCTGTGTGTGGCCTTGCGTGAAACAGACCTACTAATAATTTAAAAGCGTCAGCTTCTGGTTTACAAACTGCCCTGCAGAGGGAGAAAGGGCGAGAAGGAGGAACTAGATTATTTCGTTTTCTTACAGTGGGGCTAATTTGTTTATGTTTGGATTAAGGGTTGACCCTTGAACATCAACGGCCACAAGATCATTCAGCTCATTCAGCCACGGGACCAAAATGCTTCAAAGTTAATCACTCACCCTTGTACAGGGGCCTCATTAAAACACTCTAGACATGCGGGCACCCACAGAAAAACAGCTCTCTGACACATTCTGGGTTCCTGACCCATAATTTAAGAAACCCTTGAGGTCTGCTTCCATCAACATGTTAATAAATCTCCTGTCTGCAATGCTGCTGAGTAAAACAGCACATGGAGGAAAATATGGGGAGGCTGAACAAAGAATCAAACCAAATATTAAATCTATTAATAACATCCATCAGAAATACTTGTTATAAAGGTTTAGCCTAACGATAATTGGGTGGTGATTCTGACATGTAAGAGCAAATAATAATAATATCTACTAATTCAATACATCTCTGTCAGTCTATCTGTAAAGGAAAACAAATCTTAGGAGCCATTCATCTTATCAGCTTCACACTTGACAAGTGCATTGTTCAGGGTCCAAGGAAGTGTAGTGCCAATCACAACAACAGCAATGATAACTGATTCTCCAGGTTTGGGTTCTGTGTACTGAGTGGAGCTTCACTGAACTTTGAATGAACAGTAAAACAGCCCTTTGTGTAGCAGAGGTTCTGCAGAGTTCTGCAGACGGTTCTCTACTCATCATGGCTGCAGGTCACTTTAAAATATTTAAAACAAAGCTGCCTGAACACAGGCCAAACAAAACAGCCAGTTCCAGACAGGCAGGATTAGAATGGGCACTAAAATCAGTACACTTAACTCAGCAGGTTACACAGCTGTCATGATGGACTATTCAACAGGGTGCTACTGTCATATACATTCAGCTTTTGTCCATCTACCCAAACTGTGCACATATGCTTATGTCCCCATGAACTCCAGGATGCTGTTTTCTGAGATTCTCTGCATTAAGCAATTGGCTCATGACACTCACAATAAAATAGATTATCTTTTATCTGCACAAAACCAAATAAGAAACATACAGATATACTGATGTCATGTATAATATATATCATATAAGCCAAAAGTGAGCTCTACCATCATGCTATTTTCAACAGTATTTATTTGTTTACCTGATTAGGTTGAAAATAAATTCAAATAGTGTAACCTCTCATGTGACCTGATACAATATATAAGCAGTTAGCCAGGAATCAGTGTGTGCATGTGTGTATAAATGCACTCAATGACACCTTTTAAAAGTACCACTTACTGGGATTTCATATAGAGAACGTGGTATTTAGACGTACACCTGCACCTGCTCTGACCTTCCAAGTGTGCAGGTAATGCTTGAATGCTATAATTACACAGCATGTAAGAGGGCTGCTGTGTGAGTGTGCATCGGTGTGTGTGGGTGTGTTTCCATTGCTCTTATCATCTGCTTGTAAGTATGTGTGTTCTCTAATTTAAGTGTGTGTTTCATGTGTATGTCTGAGCTCAGACAGGCCCCATCGACCTGTTGAGAGCAGTAGCTGTTGTCTTGGTAACAGAAGAGGAAGATTTCGGATCTGCTATCTCTGGAGACAGAGGTACTCCCAAAATACAGGACACACACACACTCTCAGGCGGACACACACATTTGAAGCCTGTATAACTGCACAAACAGAATGAATGCATAGAGTTTACAAAGTCATACACACACCAACCTTCAAATAAATGCTTTGTTGAAACAGACCCAGACTACAGTTATGAAGGACATCCCAAAGTAGAATTATTGAATTGTTAAGCAGGCAGCGGGACTGACAGTTTGATGGGTGGACGACAAAATATATCGTAATTTCACTGCTGTTATGCTCATTTCATTTTTTTTCCTGTTAACCGTTTCCTCCTTTTCTTATCTCTCATTTTCCCTAAGAACCCATTTTAATGTCCCTCTTCTTTCCTCCGCTCATTTCATTCCCCTACCTTTCTCTCCCTCTCTCTCTTTAGATTCCATTCCACCCTTCAAAGCTGTTTAAATGAATAATTTCAGGAATTGTGGGTAATGATGTGAGAGCTCATCAGTCATTTTAGTGAGATTTTTCCAATGACCCTGAGGGTTTGTGCACGCTAATTTTCTTTAAGCTTTTTTAGCATCAGCACATTTGGACAGTGTAGACTGAGGACATTTGACTATCAATGATTATAAATACACAAGGTGACCAGCTCTGTACCCACTGCTATGGATAGAAACATCTAACATTACTGGGTGGTTCCCATGGGAAATTTAGAGTTGTTTTTAAAAAAGCATGTCGGTGTTAGAACAAGATATTTAATATTATTTGGAAATGTGCAGTTGAATTCTACTGCAGCTTATGTCATTTGATAATTACCTAATGCAGTCACACACATCGTCTCTGCCTTCTGCTTCTGTCCTCTCCTCCCTCATGATTACCCTACATCCTCCACCTGCACCTCTGCCCCTCCCATACTCATTATTTGCCCTCCCCCTGCTCTGTCATTTTTTGTTTACCATTCCCATTGTCCCCTCGATCCGCTCAGTCTCTCCATCGCTCCCTCCTCAGCTTCTCTGCTTCATCATCTCTCCTGCCCACATCACTGCCCTTCTAATTTCCCCGACCCCTCCTCTTCCTCTCCTCCTCTCAGGATGATGTGTGAATATGCTCTTGGTGAGCTCATGTGGGCCCTGTCCTATTATAGATCACTTTGACTGTGACACTGACCATTTCTGTCCCTCTGCCTTTCTCCCTCTATCTCACCGTGAGGGAGAACCAAGTCATTATGTTTGGCAGCTTAAAAAGAGGGGAGAAAACTCCAGAGGAGAGGAAGGGTAGAGAGGAAGGGCATGGGAACAGCAGGAATAAAGGGATTTGGATGGACAGAGGGAGAGACTCTGAGGTGGAGGATGGTGGGAATGAAGGGGTGATAGGGGAACGGATGGACCTGGGGGAGAGAGGATGAATGCGGTTAGGAAAACCGAGGGGAGAGAGATATGCTATAGGGGAGAGCTTTAAGGGAGGGATGAAAATTAGAATTTGTTTTAGACTCCTTTGAGAAAAKAAAAAAAAAAGAATGTCAGATGAAGGAGAGAGTGGATAAAAAGAAAGGGAGGGTGGAGAAAGGATTAAAACAAGTGAGTGGAGATTCATCTTACATGAGACTCAGAAGAGAACAGAATTTTATAATAATTGATAATAATATCATCAAATTGCCATGATTACTCTCTACCTGCACCCAGGATCCATTCATCCATTCCCATCACATATGATAGAGATTTAAGCTTTTCTAAAGTTTATGTTTCTGCATAATGCGATGCAAGTTCCACACAAACGTTATTACAGTTTATGTAAGTGAGGTTTGCAGAATGCATTTGCAGCAAGACGGGAGGAAAACATATTGTAATAACACTGCAGCAGTAAAGAATATTTTAATTGCATATCTCCGATGATGTTTCTGTCTATTTACCCTACTCCCACAAGCACCAAAACTTTAGCATTTTAGATATTATTTTTCCTGGATTGATAGTTTATTCTGAAGAGAGATATATTTTAAAGGGGACTGACTTCCTTCTGCCTGATTTGGATCAATCTTTCTACATGAGGGCACCCAGAGAAAGACAAGTAACTCACAAAACTACCAGCTTGAGACGATAGGTTCTGGACAGGTTTGCACCAAGCCATCCAACAGGGATGTCACTGATAAGCCTTTGAAAACCCCACAGTGGCTTCAAAATAAACCTATTGCATGTTTTTCTTCCTTGCAAACAGTGGAAAAACAAACCTTCACACGTTTAGTTAAAGGATACTTCCACTCTACGATGCTGATGCAGGCCCTGCGGATGGGGTTCTTGAGCGTGAGACAGAGTAGGGCCCGTGGCGGCCTTGTGGCTGTTGTCGTTGTCTGTTTCTTGGGCTTGGAGCTATAGTGTTGTCTCTTCCGTTGCGTGGAGCTAGCCGTGGAGATAGGCCCGCCGCCTCCCGACCCAAGCCCCGCCCCTCCACCTGACACAGCATTGCCCATCATCTTTGCCTGCCGTGCAGCATCGATGGCCGCCTGCCAGCTCAGGGCCGCCCCCGGCGTGGCGATGTGTTCCGGAGCCAGGCCCACCACGCCCACCCCGTGATTGACCCCGCCCCCTCCGCCACCGTGGTCACCATGGCTGCCACCGCCGCTGTGCTCATTTGTCAGGCCGGGGGGAGGAGGCCGAGGCAGGGGGGGAGGGGGAGAGTAGTCGGAGCCTGGAGAAGAGAGATCAGGAGGAGAAAAGAAGAAAAAAACGTTAACTGCCAGTTAGCTCTTGAATCACGTTCTGTAGAGAATAAGTGATTCACTTGTTGATTTGATGCAATGCACATGTTTCTACAGTGTTTCAGTTAATCTGGCTGTGGTTAACTATAGAGGCTTCTACAGAATTGCTGAGTTGTTGACACATCAGTTAGTGACCCCTGTATATTTTTCAGACACTGAACTCTCTCCCTGTAGAATCGATTGATGACTAATATACTCCCCATCTGTCAAGCAGAAACAACAGAGCTAACTGCACACTGTTTAGCTGCTCAGCATATTGCGTTGGTTATTCACTTTTTGTCAGAACACACAAAACATAACTCATCAGACGAAGAGCACTGGCTGGTGTAGTGAACATTCGCTGTGTTATAAAAGAAACATTTCATTTCATTTTGGTTCTGAGAGAAGACTCCGACAACAAATGCACGCAGTGGACTGACAGAAGAATGTGAGAAAAAAATGAGTGACAGAATTACAATAATCTCCTTGAGATTACATAGGAGTTGTAGAAATAAGTGAAAGTAAAAAGAAGTGAGAGCGGATTATCCATACTGTATGCTTAGCCAGATTAAAGACAGCTATAATAACCCCTCAGCCCCTCTTTGCCTCTGACATCTGAACAAGGATTCCACAAATGCTTTCACCTTGCACCAGATTACACACACAACGTAGCCTGATACTTTCTGGTTTAAGACAAAGCGAATTGTATTAGTGGTTCTTTGTTTGAACAATTATTAAAATAAAATATATTCATGTAGCTGCACATGGAATTTAAAATCTGTCTGACAATGGTGAACATTTAAAAAGAAATCACGTTTGATCAAAGGTACATGCCAGTGTCATGGTTACAAATCCTATGAAGTTTACTTTGGGTACAAGAACAAAGATAAGGAAACAGGGGATAGAGAGAGGAGGCTGAGAGAGATAAACTTATCCTGTATGCGATCAGTACAAGTACAAGTATAAGTATAAGTATGATTACAGGACAGTTACAGAGTCACATTCAGCAACTACATAATATTTGTCTTACACCTGATCTCTGACCTCCCCTGTCTTTCATTAGATCTCATCTCGTGTTATTGCTATTAAAACCTTCCAAACTCACTGATTCATCACTACATTAAAATGTGTATTACTTAACAAGCTGCATATTAGCACATGTAATACAGCTGCAGTTTAAGATGCAAATGGTCTCAATGCTTGTTATTGAAATAAAAAGTAATAACGCATTACTCATAACAAGAGTAATTCACATGAAGGTATGTCATGATCTGGCTTGTTGTGGCCCACCTGTGCAGCTGCTGCAGGAGCCTGCTGCTGGCATCAGCAGCACCAAACTAATGGAGTCAGTATTTATAGTTAAACATCTGAAACACTGAGTTTTTCATGTATGGGCTCTGGTGATTTGTTTTATTGATATTGCGGTTTGTTGGTTTTATCCCTTCCAATTTTTCTCTCTCATGTCAAGCCTCTTGCAATATTTGTTTGGATAACTATATGAATTCATTTTATTATTTTCATTATTGAAAAAAGTAGGAATGTGCAATGGCCCAGAGGTAACGATAAAACAAACGCACGGAGTCGTGGCTGCAAACATTTAGGAGCGACATCGCTTTGAATACAACGATGATGACGATGAAGTGGTATCAGATGCAGCAGTGCCTTATGGGAAATACCACTGTGCTTTGGATTTGAAGTGAATCTTTCATCTTGTTACTTGGCCGGAAGTACTTTCTCCTCATTTTTTCTCAACACTGTGGTTTTAGAGGTTTTCTGTGGCATTTAAACACATAAATGTCAACACGGATTTTACTTTTATCATATGTGCAAGCGTGAGAACACAAAATTAAATGTAAATATTTTCTCCTGTGAGACTTAATATCTGCCTCCTGTTCCTGCTGTTGCAAATCATCATCATCATCATCATCATCATCGCTCAGTATCTCTTACAAACACACACTTTCATAAACACACATAATCACTCTCAGCATATTGTACCGCTGCTTGATCAGTTTATCTCACACTGCCTGGCCCTCTCACAGGGTGTACCCGACTGAGAGTGTGTGTTTGTATCTCTGTGTGTGCGTGTGTGTGTATGTGTGTGTGCACGCTGCATGAGCGAGAGTGTGAGGATTAGAGGAGAGTAAAAGTTTAATAATATTGAGCTCACTAATCTGTCTGTATGACCAAGCAACTCTGTGCGTCTGTTCTGTTTCATGTATATGCACGGTCTTGTTGTGTGTGTGTGTGTGTGTGTGTGTGTGTGTGTGTGTGTGTGTGTGTGTGTGTCGTATGATAGACTGTGGTGACTGACTGTAATTCCATTAGCAGCTCTTTATACTGCTGGGGGAGAAGAAGAAAAAAACAGCAGCCCGTGGAAATATGATTTTGATTGAAGGGGAGAAGGAGGAGAGGAAGGGATAGAGGAAGACAAGGAGAGAGGATGAGGAAGACCGGAGGGAGGGAGTAAGACAAGGAGAGAGGATGAAGAAGACAGGAGGGAGGGAGTAAGACAAAGGAGATGATAAGAATGTGGAGAGAGAAACAGGGAGGATGAACAAGGGAGAAAAAAAGAGAGTAAAGAGGAGGAAAGTGGAAGAGGAGGGACAGAAAATAGAGGAAGAAAGTTAGAGGGCTAGGGTGCTTAACCATTAATGACAGGACTTCATCCAATAATTTCTCTGTCCATCATGTGACTTTATTAGTGAATATATTTAAAACTAATTCACTTTTAGTATTACAGTCAATGCAAGCATTTAGTATTAATGTACAATTAAATGTCGTAGCTCTGCCCTAATCTGATTTCTAGTTCTACATTAAATATAGTGGCTTAATAGTATTTCAATACATCATTGTTCTTAAAGCAGTGGTATAAATAACTATACTTTAGTCTCTAATCAATGATTGTTAAAGTACAATCAAACTTTCATTTGGCACAATTCTTCTTGTAATGTCTTATATCCAGATCGGGTGACAGGCCTTTTTCACAGCCGACATTTTAACTGTCCATAGTTGGAAAAGCTCAGGTGTCACTGATAAAATTAACAGCAGCTCTGTGCTATTTTAGTGTCCTAGTATAAGCCAGCATGCACAATGACAGCACCGTGAGACTAGAGTGGCTACATTAATTTAAGCCCGCCATTAGTTTTATTTATGTCGGTGCTTCTGTGACTAAATATCTGCCATGAAAAAAGATGCTCTGACTAAGGGCCCTTCACACACTTGGTTTTAAGACTTTTGGATGATTAGACCTTTTATTGGTCAATCTGCAAAGGTGAGCGAAAAACTACTCTTATAATTAATACATGTGGCCCCATATTTGCTGACTTTAAACCTGAGCAGAGGTCTACATATTCTTTAAAGTACTGTATGTGGTACTCAGAACAATATCTATGCAATATACATTGTTATATACATGAGATGTATATGTAATAATAAAATAAAACCATGGATTATAGGTGTACAAGCAACACATTTAGATAAAAGCAAATACTGGTTCAGCTAATGTTGGTACAAGGCAAGGCGAAGTTATTTATAGATCATATTTCACACAGCAGAAAGTGCTTTATAGAGTTCAAATGATTGAAAGAAATAATGGAAGCATCCAGAGCATGAAGGAAAAACAATAAAATAAAGACAGACTATAAACAAAAGTAAGCAGGGAGATTTTTGGTTCTCCATTTTGGCAGCATAGAAGCTTCACCATGTTTACATTCAACTGTAGATACAACTAAAGAGTCAGAACCAGTTGGCCTTAGAGGTGTGGAGGGTTCGAACTGGGTCAGAGGATCTGATATCAAGTGATCTGGGACTGACTATGGACAAATAGTAGAATTTTGAAGTTGATCCTATGAGAGCAGTTTTTGACAGACCTGTAAAAGTCCACTGCAGTGAAGCCTGCTGGAAATAGAAACATGAACCAGTTTCTCTTGATTCACTTTGACATCAAGTCTCTGATCGTTGGGATATTTTTAGAAAGCTGCTTTTGTTATAGATTTGATATGATTACTGATCTGAATTTAGCCTCACGCAAAGATTTCTAGATTGACTTTTCCTCCTCAGGGAGAGACAGTCAAGGTGAGCACTGGGCCGCGTCCTCCGAGGATGCACACAAAGTCAATCTAGAAATGTTTGTGTTCGGCTAAACTCAGATCAGTAATCATATAAAGAGTGCCTCCTTTGTGTTTGCCACGTGGAATCCGAATGCCGAACGGAAATGAAATGGTCTGATCTACAAATGCTTTCCGTGATCGGCGTCACCGGCTAGTCCCGTCCATATTGCTTGCCAGCGCCATAACCTTTTTGAAAGTTGGTTTGTCACTGAAGTGCATTGGATCCTGGGATAGGTTGGAAGGATCATTTGTCGGTCACATTTGAGAGAGCCTTTGAAATGGGTCATCCTTGTGAAACAATTGATCAAGAAGTGCAGCTTCCAAAGGATGAAGCTCCTGAATCGAGACATAGCTTATGACTTTGTTTTTGTCCTCATTTAACCGGACAATATTTTTGAACATCCAAAATAACACAGGATGTTTTATGAGACTTTAAACATCCGTTGATACTGTGAAGACAGTCAGCAGTCCCTCTCTCGCTGAAC